AGAGGTCAGGACTCGTGCTGACGTCACTAACTTGCCATTCCTGGCTAACATTGTAGAATAGGGATCTGGCTATCCTTGTAGTATATAGTCCTTGTATCGTTTCCATGCACATCTTCACTACTTTAACTATTACTGCCATCTAGTGATAGAATATATATACAGTATATATATATATATATGTATGTATGTATGTATGTATGTATGTATGTATGTATGTACGATGTGTGTGTATATAGCTATTACTGTATACGTGTGTGGGGTGCAACTAAAAACATGAAGTATGGAGTATCGAATGTTTGAATAAAATTTGCAACGCAAAAATACATAACTTATATATATATATATATTGTTGTATATGATTGATTTATACGAATTTAATCTAGATATAAATAACAATTACATGAAATCAGTGAAAGAATCACGAATACAAGTTTTAGTCATTAGTTTCATATGAATGATGAAAGGGAAAAATAGTATTCTATTACGTTACTAAATATTCGAAAACTACTGGTTATACCATTTAAATTAAAACTTATATGATGACTGTCTTTACTTTACTTTTATACTTATGTATAAACAAATTTCGATTGTTAAAAAAAACTGTTATAATCAAAAGTATATTAGAGTAGGTTACCTACAATAAATGCTACAAAAAGTGTTGTATTTAATCATTTTTCTTATCGTACATTTGTAATTAACAGCAATTTTAAGCTTTTCATTTGTTTAAAAAAATATGACAAATTGTGCCCGCTCTACAAGTTCTCGACAGCCCTGCACACAGTATTATGTACATATATAATACCGCGTGCAGTGTTTGTTTATTAATAAAAAGTAAAAGTAGTCTTTAAGATTTTATTTTCTGTTACCAAAAATAACATCAATTGTATAGTGATAGAAACTTAACCCTCTTCCTATCCCCGCGGGGGGAATTTCGAAAAATCCCTTCTTAGTATGCATTCTCATGACGTGCCCTGTGTACCAAATTTCAACTTTCAACTCCTAACCGTTTGGGCTCTGCCCTTATTATTAATATGTTGTAATGACGCAAAAATATTTTTCAACTGTTGATCATGATCTTGTTTAGGTGTTGTATATTCACAAATTGTTGACTCATTACAAGACAGATGTATTTTTTGTGTATATAATTTTACAATTTTTCCAGGACAGGACACATTTGTCGTAGACATGAGGCCAGTTTTCAAGATTTTTTATGAATACTGTAAGCTACACTTACTGCACATGCATGATCATTTCCTCCACTCATTTGTCTGATAGACTTAAAGAGCATAGGCCAGATGGCCACGCAGTCACGATGGCAGTCTACTGCTTTGGGAGATCCTGATTCGAATCCGAATGGGTCGAAAAATTCCTGAGGATTTTTCGATTCGTCCGGATATGTCTATGGGTTCGGCCGAACCCATAATGGGCTTGCTAAAAGAGGTCCTCATAGTGCCCACAGGGCAAAAAGAGTATTAAAAGAAGACCCAAAGAGCACCTCAACATCATCACTATTAAATTTTATTGTTAGAATGTAATGAAAACCAGCTTTTAATACAATAAGTAGCGAATATATGCTACAGTCGAAAGAGTAGTAAGTTTTACAGCATTATATGTTTTCATCTATAAAAATTTCACTGTTTGATCAACACGTGACTTTTTCCATTTTTATAAATATGAAAGGAAATCATTTTCAAGCCACAATAGGCGTTGATCATCTGTGGCAAAAAATGGCATAACATCAGGATTTCTGGAATGCATGTAGAAATTTGAGTTAGAAACATTATGTAACGTCTACCATTTGTACATTATTTTCATGAATTTAATTGTTGCTCCAGAATCTTCAAATTCGTAAATGTTTCTTTCCTTGCCATGTATTTTTAAAACCTCCATAACAGAAGTGACATCAGGAGACATTAGTTGAACTGCTAGTAGCACGTTCGTCTTATCAAAATTATTTGGGAAAACATGTTTTCTTGTAAGATTTCGGACAGGCTTTATTACTTCATTTAATTGTAATTTTAAAAGGTGTTGTAAATATTTTAGTGAAATTTCGCCTTCCTCATTTTTCAACTTTCGATTGGGAGATAATAAATTTGAACGCAAATTTTTAATAATATGACTTGAATCAAAACTTAAGAATAATTGTCGTTCCCTATCTACGGGATGCTGTACAACCGGTTTCATGTGGCCACCACTTAATAAATGAAATGTTGTGCAATTTACACTAAAGTTGTTTGTGACAATTCTGGTAACAAAAAAAAAACAATTTTTTCTACTTCTGCAAGAATTTTTAAAGTCAAAGTATACTGCTGTTTTCCTGTTAATTTATTTATAAAAAAAGATATGCTACTGGAATTCTTAGTTTTGTATTTAGTCCAGTTATTAAATAGCATAGCACACAGTTAATGGGTTGAGGGTGTCCAATCTCATTTATATTTATCTCATCCGTGTCATGAAGCAGTCAAGATATTTCTGACAAGTCAATGAAGGTTAAATAGCCATTTTCATCTATTACTAATGACACTATTTTTTATATTGATTTTACCTCGGTTGCTTCTTTTGCCAAATACTTTCTCATCAATGTTGTCATACCCACTTCTCCCGAATAATGTCCTACATATTTTTTAGGGTTGTAGGATGTGGCAAATTTAATATATTTGATTTTCTTATATGGTTATAGAGCTTTGGATTGTCAAATAATACAATGAAGTAAAACAGACTCTGACCATCTACATTTTAGTTGTATTTTTAATATATTTTGGCTTTTTAAACTATTTCAATTGAGCCATTAGGAATTCTGCAAAATGTCATCAGTTCGAGAAAAGGACATGATATCTTTGATATTTATTTCGTTACATATATCTTTAAGTTGTTTTAATTGCATTTTTAATACATTATTTTTATTTTCTAGTTTGGTTGTTTTAGTTTTCAATCTGTTATATTGCAACGCTATTTCTCTCTTAAAACAATTAATTTGTTCTTCTACATCATTATGTGTTTGAGTACTTGTGGTTTCTCTGTGAGGCTCAATACATTCTTGGCATGATGCAACATCACCACTACATTCTATTTCACTATCATTCACCATAATACTTATCAAACGGAATTGACTTTATTGAATAGATTTTTGACAGTGGTATAAGAGCATTAAAAATAGATTCGTGCATGAAATTCTCTTTATACATAAATCTAAAAAGATTTATACACGTATAAATAACGTTTGATTTATTTATCTTTACTTAACTATTGGAAAAATCGCACAAGTAAATAATGATTTATTTTAAATTTTTGGGTAAGAATCGACTGCGTCTACCCCCTCTCCGAATACATCTATGCTCGAAACGATGATTTTAATACATTCAATTTTCATTTAGATTGCGAGAAAAAACAACGTTAATTTTTACGCTTAATTAAATTTTGACTTGATCAAAGGATCTTTTCGATTTTCTATCCCGTTCCATTCTTTTCGAGCGAAAACGAATCCACTTTCGTTTTAAAAGTCATTCATTGTGTTAATATTTCAAAATTAACAAATAAGACTTAAACTGTTATAAACCGCAATTGCAAATGTGGGCATAATATTAATAATTCCAACAAATTTAAAAAGTATTACAGAAAAAGACAATAAAACGAACGTTTAAAGATCACACACTAGTGACATCGACTACAGCATTTAGATGAGGTGAGAAAGAAAGAAAGATTAAAGTTAGCTTTGCGCAGAGGCGATATCGTTGCTAATGAGGTTCTGACCGAGGTGCGAGCCCTTCTCTAGGTAACCGACGGTGGTGCTTAGCGGGATCATTGATCCTTCAAACTTTAAAATCATGCGATTATTGCTAGTTGAAAACTTTAACCAATACCCCGCCCTGCGGTCTTTGTAAGACCGCTGAGGCAATTTTTGTGGCCGTTACGAAGGCCTTAATAATAAAGCTAAAGTTAGAAAGTTCATAACTGAAACGGTTACCAGTCGTGTGCTTGGGTGAAACATCCATGTTTATTTAAATTTTCAGTTTTTCCGATTTACATCAGAAATAAAAGTTAAAAGTTTTGTTGACATTTCTTATTGCAATAGGTACTGTACAGTACATAGGGAAACTCTATGTTGGTAGGTCGCGATTACGTGACCTATTATTATTGTTTGGTAGTGTTATACACTCGGCCACTAGTGGAAATGTAGTAATTATCCAAACAATTCTTAACTCTTCTATAATTATATTTATTAAATTTTCTTAAAAACCGAACATTTCATTTAATGTTATTTTTATTTATTTAAGATATAAATGATTTTCATTCTTAATTATAATTTATCTACACGATACAAATCTTAAGTCTATCCCGTTGATACAGGAACATATCGTAATAAAACATGACATCGCGACATTTTCCTAATGAATCATTTTATCTATATTAGTGTTGAAAATTTAAGAACGAACACGCAGTTACTGATATCACAGGGTAGCATTCGAGGTGATATAAAACAGAATGTGTTAAGTATACTATGGTTAAGAAGCGACTTTTAATTGCGTCTGTATCTGTGCTGTCTTTTTTACCACTTTTCTTATGACTGAAACACGTCATACAGATGCTTTTCTTCGAGGAAAAATGACTAGAAAGCCATAGTAATGGCGGACAGTTTTTGAAATTTGCAGTGAGTTTTGGAATTTCTCTCAGTGCTATACATGTATATTGGTATAATCCATTTCACATTCCAGTCCCAAAATACCTTCTTGTGTAAATTATAATATTGCAATCCGAAACGCTGTATATAAGTTAAGTATTTTAATAGTTGTTTTAATATATATATACACTTTAATAATACGTACAGTACATATGTATACAAGGGTTTTGAGTCAATGTTAAGGATGTACAGGACAGTATGCAAGGCATATCAACTTTGGTCTAGAAAGTAGTTGTGAAGAGCTTCTCATGGTCTGAAAATGTTGAACTACACAGTGTAGAAGGTATTAAGACAACACCTTGACGCAGTTAATTAACAGCCGACTTTTAGCGAGTATTATTAGCGAGTTACAACCTCAACGACTCCTGATACGTAATGCAAAGTGAGGAAGGAGTTGGAGTATTGCGTCACAGACAGACTTACTGTAATGCAATGTGAAGATTGTGAAACCACGACGTGTTGTGCATCATTTATCATCTAATGTATATACAGCAAATATCCAATTTTAAATATTTATTTTAAATTTCCGTACTTATTACTACCAAGAATAGTACATTAAAATAACTATTTTCGAGTTCGAACAATCGAACACATGCGCTATTAGCACGTACAACAAATGCTTATTAACCATTTCATTATTATACGTTTCAGAGTAATATTGAAATATCTGGGAAGTTTTCATCACCCAGCAGCTCTATTGAGAGTTTGGTCGAACCCACGATGGGCCTGATAAAAAAAAAACCTTCTTAGGGCCCAAAAGTCGGAAAGAATAAAAATAATATGGTTATTTATACCCGAAAACATGAGGTTTCTGTTGGAACGTTTAAAACTGATGATACATACCGGTAGTTTACGTTAAACGGGATTAATGCTAACGGAATAAGATATAATATTTAATTATCAAAATTGAAGTTTATATTGTTTTAGGTATAGAACTTAGCAATAGTACATAAAAAATGAACAATATTCTATCCACAATTTGAGTAATTATTTGCCAGTTTTCGTTTTCTGTTAGTCGTTGAAGAGGAGCCACTTCATCTTGATTTTCGTACAAATTCACTTTATCCATTGGTTTCTCTTTCGTGCGAATTGAATTAATTACTAATAATTTAGCGATGGTTCCTGAAAATATGTTGAGGATAAATTCGGGAGGTTCGTAATCTTGAATGTATCGAAAATTAATGATGATGACCTCGAATACAATAGCCACTAAGACGACGAACATCGTTATGTGGATAGGTTTAGCTGAAACGAAATATAAAATTAAGAAATTAGACACTAAAGTAAATAGTTTCGAATCAGTAATCGATAAAAATTTTTGCAAACTTTTATGAAATTGGATTAAATTTCAAATTTCTTTTTAGTGATTATTGATCAGACATTAAGCATATCTTACTACAAATCTATTTTCATTTCAAAAACTCCAACATTTTAATATTTTTTTTTTAATACTTAAAATTGTTTCAATATAAATCAAACGGACTGTTCTTGTGGAATTTTCTTAGTTTTTTTCATCTTTTGGCACCTAAATATGGGTTAGTTTACATTGGAAAGGTCTCCCGAGTTACATTTGCCCACGTCCGTATACAAATAAACGTTTATTTTTAGTTATTTATTTATTATAATAAAATACCTATAAATAAGTAAAAATTATAATAGTAAAATTGATAAAAATACATTTTTAATATTTTAGAGGGGCCTTTTAAATGTCGTAAGCAGGACACCGCGTATCGCGATTGAATTGATGCAGCGCGTTGCATTTGTGTAATTAAAAATTTTTAATTAATATTAATTAATAACTGACCACGATTGAAGTTTATAATAATGCATATATATTACAGTCCAATAGAACATAAAACCGGTAATTGCAACAAAAGGATTCGATACATTGTTTTTATTTTCCTTTTTTTTAAACATAGACACTTAAGAAGCACTAATAATTAGTGCCTTTTAAGTGATATTAAATAGGCACTATTGGATGTAATAAGTTACTCTGTCGTTTTTATGGGTTTTTGTACAGACCAATTGTATTCGATTTCACAAAGAAAGTTTTTGTAACCTGCTGAAGAAGGACGGTACTTTGAAGTATTGAATAACTAGCATACATACAAACGCCAGTTGGATACTTATCGGGCTATAATATGGAATGTATAATGAAATTATTAAGATTCTAATTAATTTGATCGAAAATATGAGATAAAGCTGCAATCTTTTGATGAATCTAGTATAATGTAATCTAATGTCATCTATTTTATTTAAATGGTTAATATCTTACCTATAAGTTCAGCGACTTGAGGTACTTTTACAGTCGATGTGATGGTAATAAGGCTAATAGTTAATATTATCAACACCACACATCCTAAGGTTAGTTTCTGCCTGATGTCTGCCGGAATCCAAAACATACACAGAGTCAACAATACAACAATAATAGAAATTATCCATTGTAATTGATATTGAGCAATTGGTTGTCGTCTTGCGAGTACACATATCAGCTCTATCCTTGGATAAAATTCATTTCCGAAAAATATATCTGTTTTATTAAGATGACATTCCTTCATATTCCAATAAGGATTATCATTGTTAAAATATCTTAGGTTAGGTTCAGGATCAAGGAGGCTAAAATTGACCTCTCTGCCTTTGTTAGTCCAATTTTCCAGAAAAACTTTACATTTTGCAACATCTAATGGATAATCATCATAATCGAAATCACATTTACCAATTAATGAAGTGGGTATGGCCCAGAATACGTCTCCGTAAGAGTTAACTACAACATTAGTAGAATTAATTTCTGTAATAGCACTTTGTAGTCCACTGTAGAATTTTAAAAAAAACTTCAAATTAATTAATTATTTATTTATTTAATGATAAACACTACAATAATATATTACTATATCTATTTAAATAGAGACTGAATAGCCCTATACGTAAAGAAATTCAAAAGTAAAATATAATTGAAGTACAGTAATATGAATGATCATTATTAAACAAACTATCTTTAAACGTAATTCTGCATTAAAATAATTAAATTTTTTGACATTAAAATTAATGAAATATTTTATATTTGTTAATGAATATATTTATATTTTCTTCAAAATACAAACTGTATATCACCTTTATTTTGTAAGAGGTCATTTTGTTCACTGTATTTTATTTTATTGGTATAATCCATTTCACATTCCAGTCCCAAAATACCTTCTTGTGTAAATTATAATATTGCAATCCGAAACGCTGTATATAAGTTAAGTATTTTAATAGTTGTTTTAATATATATATACACTTTAATAATACGTACAGTACATATGTATACAAGGGTTTTGAGTCAATGTTAAGGATGTACAGGACAGTATGCAAGGCATATCAACTTTGGTCTAGAAAGTAGTTGTGAAGAGCTTCTCATGATCTGAAAATGTTGAACTACACAGTGTAGAAGGTATTAAGAAAACACCTTCACGCAGTTAATTAACAGCCGACTTTTAGCGAGTATTATTAGCGAGTTACAACCTCAACGACTCCTGATACGTAATGCAAAGTGAGGAAGGAGTTGGAGTATTGCGTCACAGACAGACTTACTGTAATGCAATGTGAAGATTGTGAAACCACGACGTGTTGTGCATCATTTATCATCTAATGTATATACAGCAAATATCCAATTTTAAATATTTATTTTAAATTTCCGTACTTATTACTACCAAGAATAGTACATTAAAATAACTATTTTCGAGTTCGAACAATCGAACACATGCGCTATTTGCACGTACAACAAATGCTTATTAACCATTTCATTATTATACGTTTCAGAGTAATATTGAAATATCTGGGAAGTTTTCATCACCCAGCAGCTCTATTGAGAGTTTGGTCGAACCCACGATGGGCCTGATAAAAAAAAAACCTTCTTAGGGCCCAAAAGTCGGAAAGAATAAAAATAATATGGTTATTTATACCCGAAAACATGAGGTTTCTGTTGGAACGTTTAAAACTGATGATACATACCGGTAGTTTACGTTAAACGGGATTAATGCTAACGGAATAAGATATAATATTTAATTATCAAAATTGAAGTTTATATTGTTTTAGGTATAGAACTTAGCAATAGTACATAAAAAATGAACAATATTCTATCCACAATTTGAGTAATTATTTGCCAGTTTTCGTTTTCTGTTAGTCGTTGAAGAGGAGCCACTTCATCTTGATTTTCGTACAAATTCACTTTATCCATTGGTTTCTCTTTCGTGCGAATTGAATTAATTACTAATAATTTAGCGATGGTTCCTGAAAATATGTTAAGGATAAATTCGGGAGGTTCGTAATCTTGAATGTATCGAAAATTAATGATGATGACCTCGAATACAATAGCCACTAAGACGACGAACATCGTTATGTGGATAGGTTTAGCTGAAACGAAATATAAAATTAAGAAATTAGACACTAAAGTAAATAGTTTCGAATCAGTAATCGATAAAAATTTTTGCAAACTTTTATGAAATTGGATTAAATTTCAAATTTCTTTTTAGTGATTATTGATCAGACATTAAGCATATCTTACTACAAATCTATTTTCATTTCAAAAACTCCAACATTTTAATATATTTTTTTTTAATACTTAAAATTGTTTCAATATAAATCAAACGGACTGTTCTTGTGGAATTTTCTTAGTTTTCTTCATCTTTTGGCACCTAAATATGGGTTAGTTTACATTTGAAAGGTCTCCCGAGTTACATTTGCCCACGTCCGTATACAAATAAACGTTTATTTTTAGTTATTTATTTATTATAATAAAATACCTATAAATAAGTAAAAATTAGATAAAATAGTAAAATTGATAAAAATAAATTTTTAATATTTTAGCGGGGCCTTTTAAATGTCGTAAGTAGGACACCGCGTATCGCGATTGAATTGATGCAGCGCGTTGCATTTTTGTAATTAAAAATTTTTAATTAATATTAATTAATAACTGACCACGATTGAAGTTTATAATAATGCATATATATTACAGTCCAATAGAACATAAAACCGGTAATTGCAACAAAAGGATTCGATACATTGTTTTTATTTTCCTTTTTTTTAAACATAGACACTTAAGAAGCACTAATAATTAGTGCCTTTTAAGTGATATTAAATAGGCACTATTGGATGTAATAAGTTACTCTGTCCTTTTTATGGGTTTTTGTACAGACCAATTGTATTCGATTTCACAAAGAAAGTTTTTGTAACCTGCTGAAGAAGGACGGTACTTTGAAGTATTGAATAACTAGCATACATACAAACGCCAGTTGGATACTTATCGGGCTATAATATGGAATGTATAATGAAATTATTAAGATTCTAATTAATTTGATCGAAAATATGAGATAAAGCTGCAATCTTTTGATGAATCTAGTATAATGTAATCTAATGTCATCTATTTTATTTAAATGGTTAATATCTTACCTATAAGTTCAGCGACTTGAGGTACTTTTACAGTCGATGTGATGGTAATAAGGCTAATATTTATTATTATCATTACCACACATCCTAAGGTTAGTTTCTGCCTGATGTCTGCCGGAATCCAAAACATACACAGAGTCAACAATACAACAATAATAGAAATTATCCATTGTAATTGATATTGAGCAATTGGTTGTCGTCTTGCGAGTACACATATCAGCTCTATCCTTGGATAAAATTCATTTCCGAAAAATATATCTGTTTTATTAAGATGACATTCCTTCATATTCCAATAAGGATTATCATTGTTAAAATATCTTAGGTTAGGTTCAGGATCAAGGAGGCTAAAATTGACCTCTCTGCCTTTGTTAGTCCAATTTTCCAGAAAAACTTTACATTTTGCAACATCTAATGGATAATCATCATAATCGAAATCACATTTACCAATTAATGAAGTGGGTATGGCCCAGAATACGTCTCCGTAAGAGTTAACTACAACATTAGTAGAATTAATTTCTGTAATAGCACTTTGTAGTCCACTGTAGAATTTTAAAAAAAACTTCAAATTAATTAATTATTTATTTATTTAATGATAAACACTACAATAATATATTACTATATCTATTTAAATAGAGACTGAATAGCCCTATACGTAAAGAAATTCAAAAGTAAAATATAATTGAAGTACAGTAATATGAATGATCATTATTAAACAAACTATCTTTAAACGTAATTCTGCATTAAAATAATTAAATTTTTTGACATTAAAACTAATGAAATATTTTATATTTGTTAATGAATATATTTATATTTTCTTCAAAATACAAACTGTATATCACCTTTATTTTGTAAGAGGTCATTTTGTTCACTGTATTTTATTTATCTATAATATAATCGAGACGGGTTGATAATAATGATAATAATAAGTGCAGAGCCCAAACGGTTAGGAGTTGGAAGCTGAAATTTGGTACACAGATAGGGCACGTCACGAAAACGCACACTAAGAAGGGATTTTTCGAAATTCCTCCCGGGGGGGAGAAAGACAGGATTAAGGCTTAACACTTCCATCAACAATGGAAGTGTTAAGTAACAATGGCGGTGTTAGGTAACAATGGAAGT